CATCATGAAAGTGATGGAAAGATATGGTTTTTGCCGAAGACATTGTTAGGTCATCCGTTCCCGACGCCCACCACATCGGCTGTCAGTTCACCACAAACTCGAATAGTGAGCGGTAGTCCCCGAGAGACACAACATTTGCAAACAAGTGAATCAACTGATACTGACTTCTGGAGAACCGTTAATGTAGGCGAAGGGAAAACATGGTTCTTTCCGGAGACGTTGTTAGGCCAACCTTTTCCTACACCCGCACCAACTTTTGATGGACAACAGACTCCAGTCAGACAAAGGGCAGAGAGTGTAGCGTCTGATCCTAACTTTTGGACAGAACATCGCGGAAATGACGGAAAGACATGGTTTTTGCCGCAGACTCTATTGGGCCAACCGTTTCCAAGACCGGCACCGACTTTAGGTGAACAACAAACGCGAGTTACAGAGAGAGAAGACAATCTGGAGATTGATAGAGACTTTTGGACAGAACAGCGGGAAAGTGACGGAAAGATATGGTTTTTACCGAAAACATTGTTAGGTCTGCCGTTTCCGAAGCCAATGACAACGGCTGTTACTTCACCCCAAACTCGAGTCAAACACTGGATAATAAGCGACGGCTCACAAGAGACAAGAAAACAATTTAAAACGAGTGAATCAACTGATACTCAAAACCTTGGAATTGATGAACACTTTTGGACAGAACAGCGTTTAGGAGATGGAAAGACATGGTTTTTGCCAAACACACTGTTAGGCCAACCCTTCCCGACCGCTGACACACAGCAGACAACCCAATATCGGACACCTGAGAGAAAGGACGGCAGTGTTATGATGGATGAAACGGGATATATGTCTGGACCCGATATCACACAAAGTCCAACCGTATCGGGTCAAAGAGTTACAGATATTTCGGGACCAACTGTACAATTGTCACCTCAAGAAAGACAATCAGTCGACGGAGACTTTTGGACGAGCGTTAAGGTTGGAGAAGGAAAGACATGGTTTTTGCCGAACACACTGTTAGGTCAACCCTTTCCCACTCACGAGGAAACCCAACCCCAATACCAGACACCGAAGAGACAGGTCGACAGTACTAGAAGTTATTCAGAAAAGTCGACACAAACCATCGTAGGGATGGATGAGACGGGATATATGTCCGGATCTGATAACACACAAAGTCCAACCGTATTGGATCAAAGAGTTGCAGATATATCAGGACCTACTGTGCAATTGTCACCTCAAACAACACAATCAGTCGACGAAGACTTTTGGAAGGATATATGTCCGGATCTGATAACACACAAAGTCCAACCGTATTGGATCAAAGAGTTGCAGATATATCAGGACCTACTGTGCAATTGTCACCTCAAACAACACAATCAGTCGACGAAGACTTTTGGACAAGTGTTGAGGCTGGAGAAGGAAAGACATGGTTTTTGCCGCAGACACTGTTAGGCCAACCCTTTCCCGAGCCGTCAGAAACTTTTGGCGGACAACAAACGACAGACATTTTAAAAATTGACAAAGAAGTGTTGGCCCAACCCTTCCCGACGCCCACAACAACTGGCAGTCGACATATCGGCGAAACCTGGAGATTAACCAATCGTTTTGGTCCTATGTCTGCCTAAAACACTATTTGCCTAAATATTTGTTGTTAAATAAATTCACAATAAATTCAAATCTTTGTTTTAAATCTAGATTTTTAATTTTGGAAGTCTCTCTCTCTCTCTCTCTCTCTCTCTCTCTCTCTCAAAGAAGTTTAATAATGATAAATGTAATAGTCATGCAATGTTAGATCAAACAAAGTAAAGTTATATACCCGTAATAACCATCTGAGTTATGAACCAAATTAATATCACTAATAAATACTTCCTGTTTAACACATCAATACATTAATAATATAATTCCAACCAAATATAAATTAAATATGATTAATAAAAGTCTATTGACAGATATTTTACAAATAAATATTAACTACATGTCATTAGACGCCACTAATAGCCGTAATATATTTTTAAACACATACACCTATAACTGTAATACGTTTAACACAGTACAATGTAAACCAGTACCGGTCGTGTCTATGAATTAATCAATACAAAACATATTTGTAAAATGTAAACGATGTCATTTCATTCAATATTCAAACATATTTATATAAAACAATCACTTTTGGTTCAAATTATTACTGAAAAGTGAGAACAAGTTATTGTTATTTGTATCGCAAGTATCGCAACAATAAGTCTGAAATATACAGAGATATGAGTAAAAGATATCAAAAGACAATATTTTTAAGCAAACGAGAGGAAAGCCATTTGTCTCCGAGTCCTCCAACGAGTCCACCGCCACCGCCGCCACCCCTTTCCCTCCCCCTCACGACCATTAATCTCAATCATTACCGAAGTGTTGAGACCAACAGCGAAGTCGAAGGTCTTAAATATGATTTCCGATACAAATCCGAGATCAACCGAATGGCCGGCAAACGAGTCGAGAAGATCATTGAAATACCGGTAGTTAAGGACATTTACCCGACCAAACCGCCCATCAGTTCAAACACAACAGTTATGTCATACAAAAAGGTATTTTTAAATGCATTAATTCAATTACCACTATTACTTTTAACTTTAATACACTGTGCTAAATGTTAGTGTATAAAATAGATTAATCCTCTATTTAATTAGAGTAATCTATTTTTACATTCATTTGATATGCATAAAACTTTAGTAAAAATATTTACACACAGAATATTCTGTACATTACTGTAGTTGACGAATATATGAATATTAGGTTAAATACATGACTTATTGCCAGACATTGATATGATTAATATAAAGTTTACGTATACAATTCATTGCCAAATTACAACTGTATAACTTTTCTTTCGTTAGGGCTACGAACTTTTTCAGGCGGCGACTATTGGCAGCAAATAGTGGTTGTGATAAATAGACTACCGATTTGTTAACACCCGTATTGACACAACTATACGCTTCATAACAACCCAGTGGTCAAACAGAGCGTATAACAAAACCATTGATTAGTTCAGTAGTACACGGATTAAAATACAAGTTTTAATAATATCTGTTATAATCTCAATTATTATATTTTTCTTAATTTATAAACATATTTATTATTATTATTTAGCTAGTTAATTACGTAGTTGAAATTGTGGTTATATGACGAAATTACTATTATATACTATAAACTATAAATAATTAAGGTAAAAGTAATTATTCTGTGCTCTATTATATTATTTAGGGTAAATTTACTTATTTGGATATAATTTGCGGTATTCTTTTGATTATTTATAATATTTATTCATTTTAATTATTATATTGTATCTGAAAATATAATTTTATAAATATATAAGTTATGGAAAATTGTTTACATTTAATCATTATAAAGAAAGAATGAGAGAGAGAGAGAGAAGACAATCTGGAGATTGATAGAGACTTTTGGACAGAACAGCGGGAAAGTGACGGAAAGATATGGTTTTTACCGAAAACATTGTTAGGTCTGACTCAAGAAAGACAATCAGTCGACGGAGACTTTTGGACGAGCGTTAAGGTTGGAGAAGGAAAGACATGGTTTTTGCCGCAGACACTGTTGGGTCAACCCTTTCCCACTCACGAGGAAACCCAACCCCAATACCAGACACCGAAGAGACAGGTCGACAGTACTAGAAGTTATTCATCAGAAAAGTCGACACAAACCATCTTAGGGATGGATGAGACGGGATATATGTCTGGATCTGATAGCACACAAAGTCCAACCGTATTGGATCAAAGAGTTGCAGATATATCAGGACCTACTGTTCAATTGTCACCCCAAGAAAGACAATCAGTCGACGGAGACTTTTGGACGAGTGTTGAGGTCGGAGAAGGAAAGACATGGTTTTTGCCGCAAACACTGTTAGGCCAGCCGTTCCCAACTCCTGTCACATCGGTTGTCAGTTCACCTCAAACTGGAATTAATCGCCGAATAGTAAAGGATAGCTCTCGAGAGGCACTAACGAGCGAATCAACTGATACTCAGAGCTTAGAAATTGATCGAAACTTTTGGTCAGAGCTTCGCATTAGTAATGAAAAGACATGGTTTTTGCCGCAAACTCTATTAGGCCAACCATTTCCCACTCCCGCACCCACTTTAGGTGACCAACAAACCCGAGTCACACAGAGAACAGATAATATGAACATTGATAGAGACTTTTGGACAGAACATCGTGTAAGTGATGGAAAGACATGGTTTTTTCCGGAGACATTGTTAGGCCAACCATTTCCTACGGCCGCACAAACTTTTGTTGGACAACAGACACCAGTCAGACAAAGGGCAGAGAGTATATCATTTGATCCTAACTTTTGGACAGAACATCACGGAAATGATGGAAAGATATGGTTTTTGCCGAAGACATTGTTAGGTCATCCGTTCCCGACGCCCACCACATCGGCTGTCAGTTCACCACAAACTCGAATAGTGAGCGGTAGTCCCCGAGAGA